CGTTTAGGAGCTGGTGCGCTGTTTCTCTGCCGACATTGCTGCCTGACCTGGTGACCGGATGGCACTCTGATGGTGTCGATGAGTAGCTGGTAGTTTGCATCAAGGCCTCTACTCATCTCTTTTACGACGTTCACCTGAGAGGGCTTGTCTGCGAAATCTTCATAAGCGAATATTCGTCCAATGGCTGATGGTTTTTTAGCCCTTGTAACCCGACCTTCTTTAAGGACATGGATTGTGACTGTCGAGCGGAGTAATGTATAGTCCAACCCGGCGCAGACGATGTTTTATCAAATGAGAGCATATGTTACTACTCGCCTTTTATTCACCAGCACGTAGTAGAATTGTTTAAGGGTCGTTCCGTTACGGTTCCATGTTTGCTACCGTTTCCCGGCTTGTTCAAATATGATATTCATGATATTGGTGGTTACTCGTGGTATACGCAATGTGCGGCGGTAGCCTCATTCGTTTCGCTCTTCACTTCCAAACCGGCCAGTGAAACAGTTGTTTTCTTTGTTACCATGTCGTTAAGATCTCCTGGAATGATTGGGTACGTGGATGCCTTTTGCGTAGAACTGCTCTACTTCTTCGTCATCCGCTTGCTGTGTTTGGCTGCGAACTTAATTTACCTCTAATGATCTTCTCTGCCCGCTCGGAGAATAAGTATGGCCAGACGTGATGCATGAGGTCGTAGGTGAGTACGAGCGGTACAGCCTCTTCGTTATGATGAATGCCACATCACCTGTGTGAGCTCGGGTTTGTACTCTTCTCTGATGAATATTTAAACACCGTTGTTCCACTGCGCGATAAACTCGGCGGATCTTCAGGTGTCGCACTCGCTGAGAATATCTGCCTTGACGCATGAGCGCGCATGACAGCAGAGTTCTGGCGCTGTGGCTAGTCACGAAGATCCTGACAATATCCTACTGTAGCTTGCCAGTCGCGTCTCGACAATCATCGGGTCGCAAGTAGTCGGTTTTTGGCAAACCGGTAGCGTTCACTTTCGGCCCGGTATTTTTCTAGGCGAAATGTATTATTTGCGAGTTTTGTTTGCAGTTCATTTGGAGTGCTAACATTCGTAAACCATACATAGCCTTCTTTCTCCCTATCTTCAACCAATCCATCGATTTCTAGTAGGGATGCGCTTCGTGAGCTGTTGGTCACAGTAGGGTTCACTGACCAGTGTCGAGTCTTACCGAACAGAAATGACCCTTTGCGACACATCCAGCTGACTCACCATCACATGCCGTCATACAGAAACAAACTGCATGTTCCCTTTGAGTTTACTGGTGGTGACAGAAGAGGCTGAAAAATGATCCCAACAGAAAGAGATTCGAACCATGCTCGTCTGAACTTTATGAGAAACATCATTTATGGAAACAAGTGCTATGGGCCCATCTTCCTTCTACGTCTTACAACTGACACAAATCAGATTCGTTGGCTAGGCAAAGCATCGCTCAACCAGGTAGCTCTGCTATTCGAACGTAAAGCGTTGTTTGCCTTCAGGTGATAAAGACTATGACACAGAGCATTGTCACCTTTCAAAACAAACTTATAAACGAGTAAGTAGATTAATAAATGCATAACCATACCACAAAGCGCTTCACGCTTTACAGCAAGACTCCTTGCTCGTGGATGTATAGGTTACTGCTTAGCTAAGTGACAGTGTTTTAGGGCATGCACTAGGAATGAAACGCGATTTGATAGAGTCATACACTCATACTTCTATAGAACGATATAATACTTTT